ATTGAAAAAAGAGGTGAATTATAGATGGCTGATTCCATAAGGACTAATGTTTACATGGCAAGAACAGAGACACAGAATTGATTTAATTGAGAAAGCATAATTATTCTACGCAGAATTTTTTGGAAGAAGAGAGGAAGAGGCAGAAAAAGAGATTTCACTAATTGAATTTCAAGAGGACCAAATGGAGACTGAAAAAGAAGAAGGTGCAGTAGGTGGACAGGTGGAAACCAAAGAACAACATGAACCGAGATCTACGAGAGCTGCCAAACCCAACTACAAAATATAATCATGGAAGAGAAAAAACTGATTACAATGAATATAAATGGACTTAATTCAGCTGTTAAAAGAAGGAGATTTTTTTTCATAAATTAGAGAAATTAAAATTTGATATTTGTCTACAAGAAGTACATATTAAAAAACAATATGAACAACTATTGGTACAGCCAAAATTAGGGAAAATATTTACTTCTTTGACTCCATGTAAGAAAAGAGGAGTGGTTTTATATATTAAAAAGACCATCTCAGCAAAATTGATCCATACTGATGAAGATGGAAGAGTATTAATGGTGGAAATAATAAACAATAATATGAAAACACTCCTGATTGCAATTTATGCTCCGAATGATAAACAAGAAGAATTCTATAAAAAACTACATATGAAAATAATTGGACTATGTTAATATAGTTAAGATGGGAGATTTCAATGGAATTGTAGACAACAAATTGGATTATACAGCAACAACAAAGCAAAATAGAAAGACTCTCCCTAAATCCTTTTTTAAAATGACAGATGAAATAAACTTAAAAGATATATGGAGAGAAAGAAATGCTAAAACCAAACAATACACTTTTTACTCAAATAGACATTTATCATGGTCCAGAATAGACATGATTTGGATTTCAACAGAATATCTAATATTCAAGAAATAAATATTGAAACAAGTACTTGGGCAGACCACAATTCAGTGACAATCAAATGGGAAAGACAAAAAAGAAGATTGAGATGGACGTTAAATAATATTATTTTAAAGGAAAAGGACTTTACACAATGGATGGAGAAAGAATTGGCCTTTTTCCTTAGAGAAAATAAAAAAGAAGATACTTCAATTCAGAATGTATGGGACCCAATGAAGGCATATGCTAGAGGCTTGATAATAGATTATACAAGGAAAAGGAACATCAGGAAAAGGCAAGCCACTAAAGCTTTAGAAGATGAGCATAAAAGATTGAAAAAGAGCTACAGAAAATGCCACAGAAAAAAGACATTAAGCTAAAATTGGACATAATTAAACACAAAATGGGCCAAATAGAGAAAGAAGAATTAGCACAGAAAATTAGAAGTGCTAAACAGAACTACTTTGAAGATGCAAACAAACCAGGTAGATGGTTAGCATACAAATTGAGAAAGGAGAAAGAATCAAGGAAAATATTGCAGTTAATAGATGATCAAGGTCAAGTTTGCTATGGCAATAAAGAGAAAAAGGAAATTGTTCGAGACTTTTTATGGGCAACTATATAAGCAAGAGAATATTGATGAGGAAAGAGTCAAACAGTATTTACAGAATGCTAATCTACCTAAGATACCTAAGAGACTGAAAAAATGTTAGAAAGCAATATAACAATGATGGAGTTAACTGAAGCACTTAAGAAGCAAAATAATGGAAAGGCACCAGGCCCGGATGGACTCCTGGCAGAATTTTATAAAACACTACAAGAATCGCTGAGTCTTCCATTGTTAGAAGTCATGAATGAAGTTATGTCAAAGAAGATACCTAAAACATGGTCAGAACCCTATATTACATTTATTCCAAAAGAAGAGGCTGATCCATTGCAAATTAAGAATTATAGACCTATTTCTTTACTAAATGCAGATTATAAAATTTTTGCTTCAATACTGGCAAAGACTTAAAAAATATTTAAATAACTTTATCCATCCTGATCAAAATGGATTTCTGCCAAAGAGACAAATCAAAGATAATATGAGAGTCATTTTGGACACTTTGGAATATTATGAGGCACACCCCGAAAAACAAATGGCTTTGATATTTTTAGATGCACAAAAGGCATTTGATAATGTGAATTGGAGATTCATGCTATTATTATTGGAACAGATGGGTTTCGCCAGAAATTTCATTCAAGCAATAGAAGCCATATACCATAAGCAAACAGCAAAGGTAATGATAGAGGGAGAATTGACAGATTCCATCAATATAAGAAAAGGTACAAGACAAGGATGCCCACTATCACCTTTGCTATTTGTATTAACTTTGGAAGTGTTAAATAGAAATATTAGAGACGAAAAGAGTATAAAAGGAATGAAAATCAAAAAGGAAGAATTTAAATTGCAAGCCATTGCGGATGATTTGGCTTTTATTTTAGAAGACCCTTTAGAAACAGCACCAAAATTATTGAAAAAGATAGAGGCATATGGCAAGATGGCTGGTTTGAAAATAAATAAAGATAAAACAAAGATTTTGACAAAGAATATGCTACTAAGACAAAAAGAAGAATTGGCAGACCTACTGAAAATTCAAGTCACGAACAAGGTTAAGTATTTGGGGATACATTTGACAGCAAGATGTAGTACTTTGAAAGAGAACAATTACATTAAACTTAAACAGCAGATAGCGTTGGACTTGACAAAATGGGAAAATCTACAATTGTCATTAATAGGGAGAATTTCAACAATCAAGATGAATATTTTACCCAGAATTTTATATTTGTTTCAAACAATACCAATTAGGCTTGGAAAGGACTACTTTGAAGATTTAAATAAAATTGTGTTGAAATATATATGGCAAGGTAAGAAAGCGAGAATAAAGTTAAAACTTTTGCAAGATGCTAGAATTAGAGGAGGATTTGGTTTGCCTAATTGGGAGTTGTACTATCAAGCTACAAACTTGATGTGGGCTAAGGAATGGGTAACATTAAGAAATACTAGATTGCTGACATTAGAAGGACATGATTTGTTGTTGGGGTGGCATGCTTTTTTATGGTACAAGGGAACCAAAACACAGGGCTATTTTAGAAGACATCATATACGGGAGTCTCTGTGGTTAAATTGGGAGAAGATTAAAAGACAATGCTATTTGAAAATTCCAGTCTGGTTATCGACTATTGAAGCATTTTCCTATCCTATAATATACAAGAAGGAACAAACAGTTAGATATGGGGAAATTTTGAATGAAAAGAGTGAACTTAAATCTATGCAAAAGCTAGAGGAACAAGGTATAAAGATGAATTGGTTTTCATATGCGCAAATACACTCAAGGTATGATAAGGATTTTAAAACAGAAGGTTTTTATCATAAATTGACTGACTTAGATAAGATTTTGACAGGTACTGATGAAAAGGTGATTAAAAAACTGTATGGATATCTATTAGAAATTAAACTAGAAGAAGAAAAAGTTAAAGAAACTATGATTGCTTGGGGGAAGAATTTTGGATATGGGATTGATTTAGAGAAATGGCAAAAACTGTGGTCTTAAAATTATAAAATGACAACGTCAACAGCATTTAAAGAAAATTTGTATAAGATGTTTTACAAGTGGCATTTCTCTCCGACAAGAATAGCAAGAATGTTCAAGAATAAATCCAAAAAATGTTGGAAATGTCATCAGATACCTGGCTCATACTACCATATGTGGTGGACTTGTGCGGATGCAAGAAAATATTGGACTAAAATCCACACGTGGTTGGAAAAAATGACAAAAAAACATATAGATTTGAAACCAGAGATATTTTTATTGGGAATCTTACCTGATACATACAGTAAAGATTTAAAATATTTGATTGTAAATGTATTAACAGCGGCTAGGATTGTATTTGCTAAAAATTGGAAAAATGAGAAAATACCATCTCAGGAGGAAACCATTAAGAAAATATTGGAATGTGCTGAAATGAGTAGATTGACATTTGAAATTAGAGAACAAGAGGATAAACAATCTTACAAAATTTGGGACCTTTTCTATCAATGGTTAGATAATAAAATATAATATTGAAATATGTAGAATTTTAGAAAACAATGAATATATAAAAATGTATTTCTTTTCTTTTTTATTATTATATCTATAAAATGTTTTTAGGATAGATTTGGAAGGATTATATGAATTGTTATAAAATAAACTATGTAAATTATAATTATCTCGCAAAGTATGAATGAACAAAATTGTAGTCAAATGATTGATTAATAATGATACTAGGGTATTTAATCTTTGATTGATAATATGAGTTATTATGCAATGTAACTGTAATTGTGACTATGAAATGGATGCACAAAAAATTTGTAAACCAACCGACACACTGCTTGTACACTTATGGAAGAAAGTTGGATGTTTTTATGTTTGTTTGTTTTTGTTTGTCTTTAAAAACCAATAAAATTTACACACACAAAAAAAGAAGTATAAAATTTATAAACTGGATGTTATTTTATTGATCAAATTTGTTGATTTATTGATGAAATGTATATAGGTGCCTATTTCATAGAAAGTGATTTTTGGGAAGCATACAACAGTTAAATAAAACAATGAATATAAAATAATTATTTGTTAAAATCATTATATAATAATTATTAAGAAAGAATTAAAAATTATAAGGCAGAACTAAACAAAAAATAATAGAGGGTTGTTAAACATGAATTATATGTATTATACATTAGCAAATGAACTTAAGGTTAAATATTGCAATTTAAATTCAACTACTTTGCTGATAGTAAGAAAAATCAAGGTATGCCCTTCATTTGACTATTAGTTGCTCAAATAGTAAGACTAGCTTTGCAAAAATGAACAATACTGTACAAGTCATATTAATAAATCTTGTCTAAAGCAGCATTGGAAGAGAGCTACACAAACACTTGCCAATCTACTTATATCAATGGTTTAATAATAAAATCTCACATTATTTAGAAGTCAGCTGAGTGAGTTTTTTCAAACTGAATTTGTTATGTGTACAGAAGTCAAAATCAGTTGTTTTAGAAAGTGAAAGATAAAACAGGCTCTTACCATCCATCTTATCAGAAGTATCCTCTTTTTTTGGAGTAGCAAGCAAAGAAACAGGAAAACTTAATGTGTTAGACAAACTGTACTGACAAGGAACTATAAAATCTTCATTAAGGCAATTAATGTGATAGTTATATATTGATATGAGTAGTTTACAAACGCTTAAGATACTGAATTCATGCATATACTAATCATTAGCAAACAAGCAATTCCAAAATTATTAATGAAACATAGTACCAGTACCATGATACTAAAACACGAATTTTATTATTACCTCTGTTGTTATAATATCACATATAGAAATTTGACAGTTCAGGCTAAAAAAGAGCCAGACTACCCTATTTTTGCAGGATGCACACAGAGGTGCATATCTGCATATATGATTTATAGACTGGATTTAAACCTGGTTAGGCATATTTTATCTTAATGGAAATTAGTAGGGCCTACACTACTTATGACTAAAATTTCCACAGATTTTAGTGGAACTAAAATATATTTATGTTTGGACTCTATTAAAAGAAACAATTATTTGAGATCAAAGCCCTAAAGAAGAAAGAAAATTCACTACTATAGATCGTAGAAGAGAAGCCTTATGGAATTTTTTAAAAAATCAGTTAAGTAGTAAGCATGACTAGTTCAACAAACAGCCAAGGTTTGGCTATTTTGTTATAGTAATATTTTTAAATATACAAAGAATCAGTGTTTATGAAATCTGAGGAAATAAAATACATTGAACTAGAATTGTAATGTTAAAGTATAGGAGAAAAAAGAGACCATACATAAAATACTAGTAGTCACTAATGGAGCCCAAAATTAATGTTAAGTGAGAATTTGTTATGTGAGTTTTACAACATTTCTTGCCACAGTTGTTAAGTTAATCACTGAAGCTGATAAGTTGGTAACTTGATTGTTAAGGGAATCTGGCTTCCCCACTGACTTTATTTCTCAGAAAGTTGCAAAAATAATCACATAACCCTGGGACAGTGCAACGGTCATAAGTATGAACCAGTTGCCAAGCATCTAAATTTTGATCACATGATCACACGATCATGGAGATGCTGCAAAGGTTGTAACTGGTCGTAAGTCACTTTTTTCAAGGCTGTTGTAACTTTAAACAATCACTAAATGAACTGTTGTAAGTCAAGAACTACCTGTAAATCTATTCAGGTTATATTTGTTCTCTTTCATTTGTGGAATAATATACCATGCTAACTTGAAAAAAATATGTTGCTGAAAACAATTGCCCACAAGTGAGAAATAGGCAATAATTAAATGAACACAGATGAAATTTGTATGTAATACCTTGTTTTCTAATATTGTCAAGTTAGAGAAACTAGTTCCACCTGAAACCAATCTAAGCAGTCTTTCTCTTAACTTAATAAATGTATTTCAAGTAGAAGTCCCATAGATGGATGTACAAATAAATACCTCCTATCTTATTTTTCGTACTACTTTAAAAAGGGGATTGGGGGTTAGGGCAAATACACACACGCATACAAATTGCCAGTAAAATAATATACTTCATTTATCATATTAATTGATTCCTATAAAACACCTATAAAATTCTCTTTTTCCAATAGAAACAACAAAGCTTTTTAAAAAGTCAGGATGGAGAGCTGAATGGAAGGAGCTCTCCTTCTCTCCAGCTGCTGACTGGAAAACTTCAAAACCTCATTTGCCTTAATGAGGAAGAGGGGAACCCTGATACAATAATAATTTAAAAATATATCTGCAATAATCCTGATGTATTCATGTTGCCACAAATGTAAGAATATTTTCTTGCCCAGGTATTTGGGGTGAACTCCTGACCTTCTTACAGGGCAAAGATGATACACACTTTTTCTTAAAAAACAACAACTATACCAATCCAGATCTGGACATCTGACCATTGTAGCCAGATGTACACACTGACAAATAATTCTAACGTCCATCTCGATCTTTTTTTTTGTCCCTTCCATTTAATTGTCAATGGGTTATGATCAGCCCAAGTACTTGTTTCAATATTTACTTCTTGAACGCTAGATATTAAGTCTGTTGAGATCCAAATCATATCAAGTCTGGACCATGATAAATGTCTATTTGAATAGAAAGTATATTGCTTAAGTTTAACATTTCTTTCTCTCCATATGTCTTTTAGAGTTAATTCATCTATCATTTTAAAAAAAGATTTAGGAAGAGTTTTTCTATTATACTTTGCTGTTGTTGCAATATAATCGAGTTTATTGTCCACGATTCCATTGAAATCTCCCATCATAATTATATTAACATAGTCCAGTCCAGCCATCTTGGTATGTAATTTTTTATAAAATTCTTCCTGTTTATCATTCGGGGCATAAATTGCAGTCAAAAGTATCTTTCTATTGTTGTCCATTATTTCCACCATTAATATTCTCCCATCTTCATCTGCGTAAATCAGTTTTGCTGGGATAGCCTCTTTGATATATAAAACCACCCCTCTTTTCTTACATTGAGTCAAAGAAGTAAACAATTTCCCTAATTTAGGTTGTACTAACAATTGTTCATGTTGCTTTTTGATGTGTACTTCTTGTAAGCAAATTATATCAAACTTTGATTTCCCTAATTTATGGAAAATCTTCCTTCTCTTAGCAGCTGAATTCAGTCCATTTATATTTATTGTAATCAGTTTTTTCTCTTCCATGGTTATATTTTATATTTAGATTTAACCACTCTCGTGGGTCTTGATTCACGCTGATCTTTAATATCCACCTGTCCACCTACTGCACCTTCTTCTTTTCCAATCTCCATTTGTTCCTCTTGAGGTTCAATTAATGAAACCTCCTTTTCTGCCTCTTCTTCTCTCCCTCCAAAAAATTCTGTGTAGAACAGTTCTGCTTTCTCAATTGAATCAATTCTATGTCTCTGTTCTTGCCACGTGAACATCAATCCTTCTGGGATCAGCCATCTGTAAGTCACCTCCTTTTTCAATAACATTTTGGTCAGGAATCGATATTCTCTTCTCATCTCTCTCACTCTTCTAAGTATTTGTTTTAAGACCAAAATTTCTTTACCTTTATATTTCAATGTCTTCTCTCTTGCCACTTGTAAAATTTGTGTCTTCATGGATTTTTTAGTAAATCTAATATGGACTTCTCTGGGCAGATTATTTCTCATCGCGTATCTTGTAAAAACTCGATATATCTCATCTATTCCATCCATCATCTTCTCTTCTGTTATTTCCAAGGCGTCCGCCAAGATTCCTATCATTATCTCAGCCAAATCTTGTCCTTTTTCTTCTTCTATATTTTGAAATCTAAGATAAAATTCTGACCTATCCATCTCCCACTTCAGCAACCCACTTTTTTCTTGTTCAATCACTGTTAGTCTGTTATCAATATTTCCAATCTTCTCCTCTCTTCGTTTACCCCCTTCTTCAACTTTTTGAAGTCTCTCCTCATACTTTGCCATCATCTGTTGAATATTTTCCACTTTTTCCTCCATCCTCCCTGTTCTTTGTTCAATGGTATCTGTTTTTATCTTAAGATCTTGAATTCCTTGCATAATCATCTGTAAAGTTACTCTTTCTTGTTCTTTTTCTTTATCTTGCTTTAACATTGCCTGAATTGAACGCTGTCCAGATGGTGGGGAGGCAGAGGTAGACACAGAGGCACCCGAAGGTATAAGTTTCTTACTCATTTTAGATGGTTCCAGCTCTTCAAATTCTTTCAAATTTTAATCCAATTAAAAAAAAAGAGTGGCCAATTATAATCCAAAATGAAAAAAGCCAATAATAAAAAACCCAATAATAAGGGAAAAAGAAGAAAAAAGAGAAAGAGAAAAAGAAAAAAAAATGAAAAAAGAAATGGAGTTGGGAGGAGCTGAGGAGTTGGGAGGAGCTGGCGCCGTGACGATACGGTCTGCAATCGAGCTCCTCGATGGCAGCCGATATCTTTGTTTCCGGCCGGTCCAAACGGACCTAAACTGTCCCGTAGGGACGGCTATTGTGAAGAGCGTACCCTGTGGACTCCGGGGACACCGCAAAATCCCTGGATGACCCGGGAGAAGCTCTTTTTGCTGGCAGCGGAGAGGCAGCCCCCATGCTGCTGAAGTCGGGGCAGCTCCAGAAAGAACGGGTCTGAAAGAGAGTCTGTCGGTTGGGTGAGAAACCTTTTTTTTTCTAATTTTTTGAGGTTTGAAAGCTCACTCTGATTACTAGAAGAAACCTGTGTGATTTTTTTTGACAAAACTGATTAAGCGGCGTTTTTTCCAAGGGAGACGTCAAAGCGAGGCTTTATTTGCTTTTTTTCCCCTTTGCTACCGGACTTCATTGTTACTTACTGGATAACTGGACTGTTCCTTTTTATATTTATATATTTTATTCTCCCTTTGGATTTTTCATATTCTAATTTTTTTTAAGGCTAGAGGCTCCCTTTGGTTACTTTTTCTTTTTTTCTCCTTTTTTGCTTTTTATATATATCTATATATTTCCCGCGGGCTTTTTTTTATTTTAATTATGCTGTCCTGAGAGGAGGGGGGAAAGTGAGAACTAAGAAACTTTGTAACACTGCCAACTAGAGGCTTGGAAATATTCTACTTGAACTGGAGAGAGATGTGAAAGACTCCTTCTCAAGGACATTTCCTGATAAGATAGAGGAAAGAGCCCTGTAGAATATTATTACAGGTGCTTTTCTGGATTCTTGTCTATAATTAAACATCTATGGTTTAGCTTTGAAGCTTGTGGGAAAGAGAAGGGAGTCATAATTAGAGCCTTGGACAACTAAGCAGAGTGCAATGAATTGTTTCCTACTTCCTTTTTCTAATTCTTTTTTAGTTCCGCCACCCCCTCCACCAGCATTACCCGATATTTTTATTCTAGTAAGGTTTTTATTTTTAACTTTTATTTATTTGCAAGGGGAAGCCTTTGAATTTTTCATTTTTATTTTATTTTGATATTTTTTTTCTTTTCCATTGGGACTTTTGCTTTTCTTTTTAATGTATATCAGTGGACTATCTTTTTTTTCTTTTCTCAATTGAGATTTTCTTGGCTGGATTAAGGTGTGGAATTTGAAGAAACTTATTCCTTTTGTTCTTTTTTCTTTTTCTTCTTTTTGGCTTTAGTCTTGTTTATTATTATTATTACTGGGTTTTTAATTATTATTATTTTTATTTTTTCTTGTGGATTACTTCATAATTGGATTAAGGACAAATAATTCTAAATAAGATTTTTATATTGAACTGATATCATTTAGAACTGTTTTTTTATAAAAAAGACATCAATCTCAACTGTAAGTCATTGCAAACTTTATTCCAGAAAACTGAACACACCGGTTCATATCTATCTTATTTTTATATAGTATTTATCTTATTGCCTGCCTTTTATCACGAAAAAAGATTGGTATGAGTTTTATTCCCCCTTTTCATGCAAAGAATATAAAAATTTATAATTTTCATTGTGTAAGAATTCCACAGCTACTAACATAAGAATGAGAAAAATGTTAAATGATATAATTTTCAACATAAGAAAAAGAGTAATGAATTTCTCTAATTTTATTAAGTACAGACATTAAAAAAAACATTAATTAAACTAGTTTCTCATGCTGTTTTACTTCCTTTCACATGTTATTATAAAACCCTTTAATAAATTTACATGCCAGCAACTTACGAGACTAAGTTTATGACATGTAAGTTAGTTTATCCCAGTTGCAAGTTTGCTCACTCTATATATACTATTAAATATGTTTATAGGTTAAACGTGTATTGATTTTTATAAATTTTCTAAATTAGGAGGTTATTTTTAGCTGCAAAACTTCAGCCTAACAAGAAAACCCAAAGGTTTTTCAAAAAGCAACTGGACTTTCTTGTTTTTCAGAGCTGAAGAAGCTTCTTGGATGAGAAGTGAAATGTCTTCAAAGAAAAGCAAGAAAGTCCAGATGCCTCTTGAAAAAGCGTCTTTGGCACAACTATGACCTGGATGACTGAGAATTTCCATAGACACCTAACTAGAAAACACTGAATAATATGGAAAAAACAGTGTCAGTAACTTATTTACTATGAATTAATAAATGTCTTAATTGCTGGAAAAAAATTTATTCACTAAGTTAGATAACTCACTGATATAACTAAATAAAGGGAAATATCATTTCAATATACATGAAAAATTCTGATAAGTGGTTTATTGTATATTGAACATATTTCCTACCTAGTGAAGCATATGATCCTGGAGGTAGACCAGCAGTTGCTAAGCGACCAGTTCCTGACGTGGCATGACGTGCCTTTGCCCCAGCGGCAGCATTAACATCAATATCACTGCAAGACCTCTGCAGTGTTCCTAGGGTCAGAGCAGCTTTGCTACCACTTGAAACTGAAAGAAAACAGGAAACTGCATATCAAGATTCCCACCTCATGCTGACACTTTAAAAAGTCCTCAAAAGATTTCCCTAAGTTACTTCTAAAGTTTCCAAATTCTACCTGGTCTTGTACATTGAGCAAATTACCTCTGTTAGTCATACTTGAAGAACTGGCAGTGGACCATTTTGAAGAGAAAGGACGGCTGAAAGAAAAAAATAATAATTTTTGAAATGTAAATTATTAAACATTTCAAAAGGGTAAACATGTCCTGTTCTCTTCAATACTCTTAAACTTGTATAAAAACTCTAATCAAGAAACATTTTCTTTGAGGAAAAAATCTTGGAACACTTTTCTAAATATCTAATATTGAATATGTACTGAAAGATAGGCCCCATCTAAATAAGGCAGTGAGGATATGTTACATTAAAAATACATTTTTATCTGTAATAATATATGGAAACAGCCTTGGAAGGCAGGAGTAAGAGCTGCAGACTAGGCAAAAATCAAATAAGACGCAGCTGAGCCTTCCAAAGGACTGTGGACAAATGACTCAGAAGAGATTCTCACTAATTTCTTTTGGGTTGTAAAGATAAAGGGTGAGAAATGTACTTTCAGATTTACAATATTCTGTTAAAGCAAACTGTTAACAAAATAATAAAGTTAGAGCTGCTACCTCTGGATGTGCCTCTTGTCTAGATTCCCTTGCAAGATAGACAATATTATAATTTTTCATTCTATAGGTGGAAATAAATTCAAGAAAAAGGCCCTAATCTGAAGTGGACTGTATATAGATCTTGTGGACAAAAGTATTTTCTTCTAGACTGACACTTACTTTAGACTTTCTTGTGAGCTGGAAGATGACCTGTCTGATTGTGGAAGTGATGCAATGCTACCAGAATTCTTTAAGTAAGTCTGGAGACTTCTTTGATAGGATGGTTCAAGACTATTATACAGAACTTCTGCCTCACCAGGAAAATGATTTCTTAGGCCTAGATAAGTCCTAAAAGAAACCACATAGAATTTATTAGAGGAAGGAAATATTTCTGGAAATAGAAACAATGTTCCAACACTAGTAAAAAAAAAATTTTTTTAAATGAGAAGTCTCAACATCAAAAAGTTGTGTATCCAACCAAAGCTAGAATAGAAAAGAACCATAACTATTAACATATTATATACTCTCTGGAGTTATTGAATGTTAGTGAGTGGTCACATAGGACTATTTGTTTATTAAATACATGTATGTGACTATCCAACAATGATTCCAAGCGGCATACAACAATAAAAATTATTTTTTTTAAAAAAAACCCAGAAAATATGTGGGCTATTCTTTTCTTCTAAAAAGTACCAGTACTTTCAAAATTAGTTAAGCCAAACTTTGAATTAATCTCACTTTCGTGCCTCCACTCTTGCCTCAGCATCAGCATCATGAATGCCCTTCTTGATAGTTTCAACCAGAACAGCTGCATGCCTGTAAGAGAAACCCAGAAATAAATATTACTTTTAATTTATTTTAATTTCATCAGAGGAGTTGCTGTTTCTTGAAAAAAATTAGATAATGAATGAAAAAAAGTTCTTAGAAGAGAGTAGCACCTAACCAGCTTTACCCAGACCCAGATGCTAATTGGTTCTAATTAGTACTTGGACTAACATGGACAATGAAACTGATTTGATTATTTGTCTTGGGCCACAAATAAAAGAGCACAATATGTGCCTGCTTTTCGGCAATATTGGGAAAAGCCTAGTGAGTAGATATAATAAAATCTTGGAGTCAAGTTCCTGAGTTCTGCAGGAAATCTGGAAAAAAAAATTGGAAGCTCTTGATTTATACAGGAAGGAGGATTATGCATTGGAATTCTAGCAAGATAGCAATTTTGCAATATATTATAGCAGACAATCTATGTTACTATGTTTCTGATAGAGATAATAGGAGAATGGTGAAAGATCTAGTAAGATCTTGGTTAAAACAAAAGAAAGATAAAGCAATGATTTCAACTATTAGGGGTGAAAGAGATGAAATCCATAACACTTTAATGGAAATAAATTGCCAATTTTAAAAATTTGATTCAGACTTACATAGTAATCTAGAAAGCGTGTTGAATGAAAATATTTAGGTTTTTTAAAAGAATATATAATTAAGCTAACTAATGTAGATTATAAAAGCAACTTGGATTTGCTCCACTACCTGAGATAGAAGTTAAACAAATAATTTTTAAAAAGGAAAGTGGTAAAACACCAGATCTAGATGGCATCCCTATTGAGATATTAATCGTGGATTATTTTAGAAAGGAAAAGAAAAACAAAGATTAACCTGAAAAAAGTGAATATTTGAGAAGGATTAATGTGATCTTGAATCAGCTAGGAAAGGAATAGTATGTAGATATGAGTGTGCAAAAATTCTCTGCTTATCACTCACAAAAATTAGAATTAAACTTAACTGCTACCATTGAAAAATAAATTTGAATTTCTATAAATGTAATGTTTCTCTTTAGAGGAGAGGACTTCAGTTACAGATCTAATGTTTTAAATGCAAAAAGCAATTTTAGCACTGTATTGTACTGAGATGATCATTATCACAAATGTGATTTTACATGCTGTTAAAAATAAGAGTGCCTTGGAGTTGGCTAGCTATAGCAAATTTGTAATAATAACACCATCAAACATCTGCCTATCCCAAGTCCTTCAGAAGGATTTGATAGGTGTATAAAAATGTCAACTATATTCTAAATATCTGGTTGACTGTGCAATCAATCAAAATAATAATTTGCAACTGATTCCTCTGTCAATAATACCAAACAAGTCAGGCCATGGCTACTAAACATCAAAAACATCTGCCAAGCTATTCCTCCTTTTCTATGGATGATCTGAAACTATAGAAAAACCCAACCTGAAATAGAATCACTGCTCAACCGTTTCCAAATATACAGCCAAGATATTACAACAAACTCTGGACTAGACAAATGTGCCATCTTACCAGTAAAGAGGAAAAAGTGAAAACTGAAGGAATCAAGATGTCCTGTGGAAATGACCTCAATGCAAATTATCACTACAAATAGCAATAGCACTTAGACTTATAAACTGCTTTATGGTGCTTTATAGTCCTCTCTAATTACCTGAGTATCCTTCAAGCTGACACTATCAAGTACACCAAATAGATTAGAAGATTAGAAGTGAATGAATCATGCAAGTGAAGAAGAACTTAATATCCAAACTCAGTGGCAGAAATATGATCAATGCAATTAACACCTGGGCAATCCCAGTAGTTAGATACACAGCTGGAATGGTGGAATGGACTGAAGCAGAACTAAAAGTCCTGGATAGGAAGATTTAAAAAAATACTTAAAATGAATCATGGCCTTCATGCCCACAGCAATATTGGTCCACTTTGTTTACCAAGGAAAATAGGTGGGCATGGGATGTTGCAAGAACACCAGATAGCTGAAGAAGAAAAAAAGGACATTGAGAAAATATGTGTAGAACAGTGAAGAAGATGCACTGAAGCTACTATACAGTGAAGGCTTACTGAATACTCTAGAGAGGCCAACCTGCCTACTAGAAAGATAAAATGAAAAACAGAAAAGAGAGATGGCAAGGCAAAATATTTCATTGCCAATACATTAAAAATGAGCATTAGAAATAACAAAAAGTGTGAACAATCCACTGAAGCTAATACATGGGCAGTAAATAAAAAATAGCAGGCAAAGTAGATACTAACAAGACCTGACAATAGCTAGAGCAGGAAAGTTGAATAAAGAGACTGAGGCCACTTAAGACCAAGTCTTAAAGCAAATGTGTACAAAGTCAGAATTGAAAAGACAGTATAGACAGCAAATGCCGCTTCTGTAAAGAAGCTGAAGAAACAGTGGACCACCTAGATAGCTGTAAGCAGATTGCACAGGCTAACAAAAACAATGGCATAACCAAGTAGCAACAATGGTGCATTAGAAGATGTACAAAAAATACCATTTGCCCTTAAGCAAGAAATACATCCTAGGCAAAAAACGTCTGGATAGTAGACATAGCAGTATCTGGACACAGCAGATAGAAAAGAAAGAACTGGAGAAAATACCATCACAGGAGGAAATCATTAAGAAAATATTGGAATGTGCTGAAATCAGTAGATTGACATTTGAAATCAGAGAACAAGATGATAAACAATTTTATAAAATCTGGGATCTATTCTATCAATGGTTAGAAAATAAAATATGGTAATGAAATACGTAGATTCTTAGAAAATAATAAATATATAAAGATGTATTATTTTCTTATTACATCTACAAAATGATTGTAGGATAGATTTGAGATGATAATATGAACTGTCACAAAACAATTTAAGTAAAATATGATTATTTCATAAAACATGAATGAATAAAGGTATAGTCAAATGATTAACAATGATATTAATGTATTTAATATTTGATTGAAAATATGAGAATATATACAATGTAATTGTAATTGAAGACTACGAAATAGAAGCACAAAACAATTTATAAACCAACTGGCACACTGTATGTATATATATGGAAGATGGCTTGATGTTTTTATGTTTTGTTTGTCTATGTTCATCTTAAAAACCAATAAAAAATTTTTTTTAAAAACAACAACCAACGGCATAACTAAGTAGCAACAATGGTGCATTAGAAGATGTACAAAAAATGCCATTTGCCCTTAAGCAAGAAATATATCCTAGGCAAAAAAAAGTCTGGATAGTAGACATAGCAGTATCTGGAGACAGCAGATAGAAAAGAAAGAACTGGAGAAAATCACAAAATACAAAACTTGTAAATAGAAATAGAACAATTTAAAAAACATTTGGAATATTGCTTGAACAGAATTGGCATTAACAAAATCACCATCAGTCAATTATACAGGAGCTTTACTTGGAATAGCTTACAACCTATGACAATATTTTTAACACCATCAAATAACAACATCTGTCTATTCCAGGTCCTTTGGAAGGATTAGATAGGTGGATAAAAATGCCAAATCTAATCTAAACCGACTGTGTGACAACCACGATAATAAATTAACATTACCAAACAACATCTTTCAATCCCAGTTCCTTGGGAAGAACTCAACAGGTAGAATCTTAATTCATTCTAAACATCTGGCTGACTGTGCAACAAAACATCATAATATCATAAAATATAAAGACTTGCAAATAGAAGTAGAATGACTATGGAAAAAGAAAACAAATTAGTACTAAGAGAAATGGATGGCTTGGGACTTCCGGTGGTGGCACCACGCTGGTGCAGTGCAGGGGAACAGAGCTCCATTCTGAATTTTTGTGATCAGTAGCCCATAAGGGTGAAGCTGGATTCTGGAGGGATCAGCGATAGGAGAAGATTCAGAGGCAACGGGTGAGGTGCAATCCCCTGCTGCTGCAAGAAGCAATCCTGAAAACTGATGCGGAAGAGATTGGTCTTTATGATTCAATCCAGAGACGTGGCAGCCTGATCGATTAAAGCAGAAGCAGAGTGGAAAGCAACGCAACAGTGAGGAGTGGGACGAAGGAAAGTGCTGACTTCTTTTTGTTAACCGAGAGACCTGTTACTTGGAGGAAGAAGAGAGAGGCTCCAAACCGAGGCAGAGAGACAAGCAGGGATTTGGCGGTAGGAGTGGTTATGGAAGAATGAATGAGTAAACAGTGACATCAAGAGTCTGATAGACTGAGAAAAAGAAGGGAGAGACAAGAGAGAACTTAGAGTTTCTGGACAGTGGAACTGGCAGGTGACAAGAAACTTTGAAAAAACATTTGATTGTTGGTGGTTGGTTGAACAGAATGATATCGAGAGAGTCTGGGTACAGCAAGGAAAGAAAAGGAAATACGACCAGAAGGAGGAGTGAAAGTGACTGTGCAATTCAGAAGGAGACATCTTGAAATTAAAAGAGACTGGTTATTGCTGACTAAAGCATTCTTATAGCGGGTGCCCTTCAGAAAGATAAAAAAGAGATCCAGAACGATATAGATGAAGCATACAGGGTGCATACAAACTATGTGTGGAGGAATAAGCTACCAAGAGAAGTCCATGTACAATTCACGAGGAAGGTAATCAGAGTTCAATTGTACTGAAAAATGAGAGATGGGCCACTGATTTACAAAGGAAGGAGGTGGTGACTCTGAAACAGACACCTAGAAGGGTTAGGGAGCAGAGGAGAAACTACCAATTCCTATCAACTCAATTGGACAAAAATAAGATTACGTTCAGGTGGTTCATTCCGGAAGGACTTCTGATATCCTGGCAAGAAAAAAAATTCAGAATTGATACATTGGACAAGATGCAAGAGTTTTATGAGCGATACTTGAGGACAGAAGAAGAACAAGAGAATAGAAAAGAGGTGGAGAGTAGGAGTTTAGAGGAACAAACATCAGAAGATAAGGAGTCAGATCAAGAACCAAGAGAGCAGAAAACCACGAGGAAGGAGGAACTACTAGACCATGGAGAGAACTTGGGGAAGAAAAGAAGCAAA